TTTTGAGAGGTAGATTATGATAAGTGAGGATATATTGTATGGTTTCAAGTTCCGATATGAGGTGACTTGAGTGTAGTCCTTTTTGGGCTTGGGTGTCATCATAATTTAAGATAGCTTTCAGTTGTTTCGAAAATACGCAGTCCTTAGAATAGCATTATAAATGAAAAGATGCTGGTCTTTGCCGATTTGTAGGATCTCTTTCAACATTTTCGCTGTTATTAGGTCATAGCCTGGGGCTTTTTTGGTATTTAAATTTTTGATTTCGTTTTTTAGTGGTTTTTATTGAAGTAAATCGTCGTTTTGTAGTTTTGTGTGAGGGAAGCCAGAGGGTCTAGTTTTGTTAATGTAGAGTTTGGGGTGAATACATATTCAAGGTGATCTTCAAAAGCAGTGCCCAATAAATTGTGCTGGTGACAAGTGTGGAATAAAATTTTTGTGTTCTATGCGATTTTTTTCTTTAAGTAGTCTCTGCAGTGCTTTCGTAAGATTCTTAAGTTGTCTTTCAATTCGGGTGGATCTTTGTTGTTGTTATTGGGGTCGTACTTGTCGTTTCACCTGTATAAGGGTTGCATTTTCGTTCTATGTGTGATAGTTTATAGGTTTGTGAGGTATTAGGTCTGGGGTTGATATTCGAGCGGCTTGCTGTAGTAGAGCTGTGAAGTCCTGCGCGGCCTTGTCTATTTCATCATTTGATTTTAGGGAAGTGTCGGTGTTAATATGTGAGCTAATATATTTTCTAAAATTTTAGTCAATTTGTGTGTTGATTTGTAAGTTTTTCTTCGAATTTTGGGTTGACTATTGTTGTATTTTTAATCAGAATAAAAGTCGGTGTGTGATCAGAGGAGAGTTTTAAGGATGGCTCTGTAGCAATTTGTTTTTTTGTTTAATGTAGGTGGGAGTGCCAGTGGAGGTTATGTCAAGGTCGAGTTTTGATACCATGTTCATCAGGGATTTTCCTTTTGGTGGTATAAGTCTTGAGCTCCAGAATGTATGTTTGGTATTATAGAAGCCGGCCGCTATGAATGTGGGTCCTAGCTTTGTAAAATATTCTTCAAATTGCGGTTCCGTTATTTCATACCTTGGTGGACAATAAATTGAGGTTATAGTCAGATCTTTTATGTACTTTTCTAGGCATATGCTTGTCCCCTGCATATATTCTGCCCGCATCTTGCTCGTCCATTGGGGTGTTTCGTATCGTAGAGTATGTAACCAGGTTTCTTAAGGTAGCTCTTTTCGTTAAAATGGGTTTCTGAGATAAACATTACGTCAATTTGATGTAATTGTAAAAACAATACAAGTTCCTTTTTATGTTGGCTTAAGCCGTTAGCATTCCAGAAGCAAAATTTTGATTGCATTCATGGTTTAGATAGGTTTGAAAGTAGGATTTTTTGATGTTGAATCATTCTCTGCATCATATTTTGGTGGTCATAAATTGTTTCATATCTTACATAAACAGTTGGATCATGTTTTTGATATTTGAAGATGGCTTAGTAGAGATTTCATTTTGGGTGTTGCTTGAGCCAGCGAATCCTGTAACAGCGTTTGCATATGACATTCGGGAACATGTATTGTTGGACTACTGACTGAGAGCGGAGACCCAATGCTGGAAACATTCTCTGTTTTTTGGTAATATATACTACATATTCTTTGTAATTTGCAGTGTTGTTACCATTGTTACCATCACAATTTCTGTATTTTTATGTATTTTTTTTTATGTTCAGTTCTTAGTGGGGTGAAAGTCACCACATGCAACGCAAATACTGCAGAGTGTGCAATAGGACTTCGAATATCCATATTCCTGGCAATTAGTACATTGCACTGGATTTTTACGCTTATGCGGTTCTTCTACTGATATTTTTGTGTGGAGTAGGAACTTTCTTTCAAACTCTTTTTCTGCGAGCGCTTCTTTAATTTCTGATGTGTTCAGACCCAGTTCTATTCTTCTTATAAACACTATTAATCCTGGTATGTGTAAACTTTTTACCATTTTTTTCGAGGTTATTTACAACTGTTCTGTATTGTTTTTCTTCGTTGATCGAAATTTTTGTTTCATCGACATTTCCTTTACGAAGAGGCACAACGTGAAATGAATCTTTTCCATTACTTTGTGTTAGGGAGTATATGGGAGTGTTTGAGTTTTTTTCACGCAGAAATATAGGTGCCGGTTTCTGGGTAAGGGCTGGTCGGGTATTTTTATCATCTTCGGTTAGAACGGCAAATTGATTCGCTGTTGAAATATTTTCAATTTTTCGCGATTTTGTTGAATTCGTATTATTAGGATTTTCTGGTTTCGGGCTTCCTTCCATACTAATAATGACAGATTCTTTTGAATTGATGAAGTAAAAGTTAAACGACCTGTAGTGAAAGTCATCATGATAATTAAGGAGACATGTGAATTGCAGCAGCTACAACAACATACGCAAAAAATTTACACCCAGCAGTTCTATAGAAGACAACTCTT